CGTAACAGCATATGGCAACATATGGCTTACCATTAGGTTTTACCGCAAAGTGATTAACCGTTAGGTGGCCACCGATAGCTTCCGTTGCAATATGTGGTCCACTTTTATGATGTGGGTTATTGTGTGCTATGCAGCTCGATTTATATCATGGTATGCGTTCTACCATCAGATTACTATTGTTATGTGCGGTATAACTTTTATGATCTAATGCAGTATGAGTTCTGCCCGTACAATCCCGTAAATGGTGCGCCATACTATTAGATTTCTATTAAAGTAAAATTGTTACTACTGCAGTATGTGGTCTATCGTTAGAATCTCGTACAATACCCGGTATACCGTTAGGTTTCTAATGTCTTACCATTAGAATTTCGTACAATACCCGGTATACCGTTAGGTTTCTACTGCAGTATGTGGCTTACCATTAGAATTTCGTACGATACATGGTATACCGTTAGGTTTCTACTGCTGTATGTGGCTTACCATTAGAATTTCGTACGATACATGGTATACCGTTAGGTTTCTACTGCTGTATGGCTTACCATTAGAATTTTACATGGTATTAAATTTCGTACCATTACCCGGTATACCGTTACCGGTTTCTACTGCAGTATGTGGCTTACCATTAAATTTCGTACGATACATGGTATACCGTTAGGTTTCTACTGCTGTATGTGGCTTACCATTAGAATTTCGTACGATACATGGTATACCGTTAGGTTTCTACTGCTGTATGTGGCTTACCATTAGAATTTCGTACAATACCCGGTATACCGTTAGGTTTCTACTGCAGTATGTGGCTTACCATTAGAATTTCGTACAATACCCGGTATACCGTTAGGTTTCTACTGCAGTATGTGGCTTACCATTAGAATTTCGTACGATACATGGTATACCGTTAGGTTTCTACTGCTGTATGTGGCTTACCATTAGAATTTCGTACAATACCCGGTATACCGTTAGGTTTCTACTGCAGTATGTGGTCTTCCGTTAAATTTCGTACGATATCCGGTATACTGTTAAGTACCTAACAAAGCCTCGTTTGTTCTACCAACAACAGCTCGTGTTTTTTTTTCTCGGTATACTGTTAGATTTCTAATGACATATGCGAAACGCCGTTAAGATTCTCCATCACTATGCGGCTTAACGTTAGGTTTCTGCAGAGATTTGCAGGCTGTTGCTAAGATTCAACGCATTATGCTTTATACCGTTAACTTCCGATAGACGTATACGGCCTGTGGTAGACATTGCAGTATCTTCCGTTTCTAATGAAATATGCGAACCGCCGATTCTCCAGCAGTATGTGGCTTAAATTGTGGGTTCAATTTAAGTTGAGATTATCTCCAGATGAGTAAAATTCCCAACCTTTCAAGTCGAATTGGAAATTATTTCAAGAGAAAGTAAGATTAAAAGGTAATAAAAATTTTCTTTCCTTCCATTAGAACTCTCTCTCTCTCTATCTCTCTCTCTCTCTCTCTCTCTCTCTCTCTATATATATATATATATATATATATATATGAATAAAAGACAGACCACGTTAAGATTCCATGTAATAAGCTATTTCACCATAACCCCTTTAACAGGGTTCTGGATCATCAGACTTTACTTCCAAATGCTGAAATGAAAAATGAAAAGAAATTCACACGTTTTTTACGGACCTCATCAAGTATACGTAAAGTTAACGAAGTGAGGAAGTGAGGTGGGAGAGAGGATATGAGTGTGTCATATGTATCATTTTAGTTTCCAATTTTAACCCCAGTGTGTCGGCTAGATGTTGCTCAAATTTAACGCGTCTCGTCTCTAGATATAGATGGCTAAGGGGTGAATGATAAGAACGACATTAAAGGAAGAAGTTACAACAACCCCAATAAATTACTCGACAGGTTTCATTCCAATTCTTAGACGCTGTTAATTCGCGTTACTTTAATGTGCATATTTGGGAGGTTAAGGTTTGATAAATATCTAAATGTTAAAACAATATACGAAGAAATTAATTTGAAATTCGGTGGAGTTTTGGGTATTTTCTATGAAACAGTCGATTGGAAAAATCCATACACAGAACATTGAAAGAGCATATATATATATATATATATATATATAACAGATTTCTAGTACTGCCAAGTCTAGTCAGACATTTGAGGTATAAAAAATATGGGATCATATTAAATATAAGATACAACAATATCAACGTTTAAAACATAAAATGTAAGGTACCTTTCGACCGACACATTTTCAAACACAAGCGTCGGTAATCTAAAACGGAGTACTAACAAGAAATTTTTTTATTAATACCGTAATAAAACAGGATGGCAAGGGAGGAAAAAAATTATTTTATCTCAAATCATGTAACCGTTCCCGTTTTTATATATATATAATATATTTATATATATATATATATATATATATATATATATATATATAAACATACACACATGTATACATATATATGCATACAACTATATCCTACACATATATTCATACATGCAACATATATAAATTCGTAAATACATATATATATATATATATATACAAATATACATGCAATCCCATATACATGAATCGATATATATACACATATACCTATCTAAATTTACGAATACACATATACATATTTACACACGCGCCCACATATATATGTATATATACACATATACACATGTATATACATATACATAAATTTACCTATCCATATGCAAGTCCATATACACATTTATATACATACAATTATGCACCCGCAAACATGTGTGCATACAATCATCCTTATTTCTAATAATTTACCTTCTAATATTTACCATCGTATATAGTTTTTTGTTTATGTGGAGTGAGTTAAATTGATATAATTTCTATGTCTGTATTTAAAGATCATCTCATTATGTTGGTTTAGTAATTTATCAGGATTTTTATGCTTTATCATTAGGATCTTCTCTTTAATACACAGGTCACATCGGTCTCTGGAATATATTGGAGATCGAGCCCTATATATATATATATATATATATATATATATATATATATATTATACCAGAAACCAAAGTATTGCTCATTTTTTTATTAAATAATTACGAGCGATATGAAAAGCAAATAGAATGTTTACTCAAGTCATTAAATATAGCATTTTTTATAGTCTTGAGGAATGATTGCTAGAAATTAATTTGTTTACCTTTCGACTCCGAAAATAAAGTTTACAGAGGTGATCATACAATAAATCCGAACGAGAGAAGTGCAACGCTTAAAAGCTTAACTGACCTTAGCTGGTCTCGAAAGCTTTCTGTGGCTGAGTTGTAAAGGCTGTTCCAATAACTTCAAACTGAATTCAATATAAAATCAGTCCAATTTAATGGAACACCCTTTATAAAGCTCATCAGGTGAGATGGTGGATTTAATTACAAGGAGGACGCAGATTCGATATCTGACGGCTGTCACAATTTCTTTATTGAAACTCGTAGTACGGTTCCCATATAACAAGATTATACTGTAAAAAAAAAAAATAATTAAAAAAAAATCAGGGCGTCTGCTCATACACGTGTATCCAATAAATACAACGTCTGAAGTAATCTCTTGATTAAAACATTTAATAAACACCAGTATCTCAGAGGATTCGGTGTTATAGATTCTGAATTTCAGCAAAATAAAAGAAAAAATTCATGGAATAAAAATAAATGATAAAAATCCAAGTGCAATTCAAGAAATTATTAGAAAAACAATCAAGTCAATATCTGAAGATTATACAAAAGGCAAAGAATATATTTTCGCCAGAAACCAAAATATTGTTCATTTTTTTTTTCATTTTTTTATAACAGATTGATTTTATTTTTTTTTATTTTTTTTTTTTTTTAGATATCTTTATTTTTTTCTTCTTTATATTTTTGCAGATAACATTTCGAACAAAACATAAATGGAGTTTAATGTGCGGTAGCGGTGAGGGGGGGAAAACAATGGCGGCGGCGAGCGCGCGGGCGGGCGGGCTTTCGGTTTACGGGCGGGTGGTTGGTTGGTTGGTTGGTTGGCGCTAGGGAAAATCATTAACGAAGACGTTTCAAAAACAATGGCGCGAAATGAATCAGTCGTTTTGCCTCATCGAAAAAAAAAAAAAGGAAAGTTTATTGAAAAGAATTTGTTTGACAAAAAACTGTCAAGAAGAATTAACGCCAAGATGAATAGATTTTATTCAACAAAAAACAAACGAACTCACACACACAGACACACAGACACAGACACACACACACACACACACACACGAAATATATATATATATATATATATATATATATATATATATATATATACCCAAATAAAAACATACCTACGTAATCGCATTTGCATATATATATATATATATATATATATATATATATATATATATATATATATATATATATATATATATATATATATATATATATATATATATATATATATATATATATATATATATATATATATATATATATATATATATATATATATATATATATATATATATATATATATATATATATATATATATATATATATATATATATATATATATATATATATATATATATATATATATATATATATATATATATATATATATATATATATATATATATATATATATATATATATATATATATATATATATATATATATATATATATATATATATATATATATATATATATACATATATATATTTAATCGTGTTTAACACACACACACATATATATATATATATATATATATATATATATATATATATGGGTTCTGAATGTGTCTGATCGTTTTTATGCATGTACACACGCACACACACATATATGTGTGTTTCCACGTACGCGCATTTATATCCGCACAAAATATATATATGCTAGTGTGTACAAACGCGAGTGCACAGAAATAAACAAACCTATATATATATATATATATATATATATATATATATATATATATATATATATATATATATATATATATATATATATATATATATTTTTATATATATATATATATATGTTATATATTTAGAAAAAGATAGATAGATAGATAGATAGATAGATAGATAGATAGATACATACAAGTATGCTCAAATTATGTAAAACAGTGACAAGTTTAATAGAAATATATATAGACTAGCCCGCTCAAATTCTCTGTCACGCTGACTTGTGTCTTCGTGCTAGCACAAGCAACGACGGCTTCACACACGCTCACAAATATATAACTCTGCACCCTGGATTCTCTCCAATATCTCCTTTCCTGAAAGAATTACCCCTTTCCGAAGCCAAAAATAGATAACCATAAAATATATAAAAAAATATTAAAAGAAATCTGTTCAATCGATGACTGCGTGGATGACTTCCACATATACTGAACAGACACACGACCCAGTCAACAAACCCGTTGGTTGAAATGATCCGGTCACTTGACCCAAAGAGTTTCAATACCTGGCCGCAGTAGAGGTGAACAGAAGCTTGGCGAGATGAGATACTAAAGGTAAATAAATAATTCTGATATATCCAGAAAAGGTATGGCACGTGGAACTAGAACAATCTACCTCAAGAATAAAGGTTTTGCTTCGAAATTTCAACGTATATTACCTGTAGAAGGCTACAACGGCCGAAACGTCATGAATATGATATTAAAGACGAAAACAATGTAAATAGTTGCAATGCCTCATCTCAGAAGTATAGACAGGAAATCTTTATTTTGACAAAGAATCGGGTTTATTCATTCATTTCAAAAATTGTTCGTACGACTAAATGCTCCTTTCATTCTTGTTTAAACTACGATTTTTTTCGGTAGGTACAGACTTTTTCTTTAAAATAGGAAATAAATATTTTCTGAATACTAGAAGTGATGTGACGTGAATGTCTAAACTAATCGAAACAGAATTGAAAGTTAGACTGTTAAACAGATTTTATTGAAAGATAGATAGCTAAGTAGATATATAGCCATGAATGTACATAGATAGATACATGCATACATACAAAGATAAATAATGAACAGGCTTAAATAGCTAAGTATTGAACATAGCTAGATAGCTAGATAGATAGATGTAACGAAATGGAGAGATTGATTTACTGGGATAGATAACTAGATAGATATTATGGGCCATGAGAACTGATAGATAGATAGATAGATAGATAGATAGATAGATAGATAGATAGATAGATGGAACGAAATGAAGAGATTGATTTACTGAGATAGATAACTAGATAGATATTATGGGCCATGAGAACTCATAGATAGATAGATAGATAGATAGATAGATAGATAGATAGATAGAAAGTTTGAAAGATATAAACAAAGTGAGATAGATAGATCGATGGAGTGATATGAACAAATGAGACAGATAGATCGATAGATAAATATGGACGAAATGAGATAGCTAGATCGATAGATAGCTGTGAATAAACTGAGATAGATCGATAGATTTGAACAAATTGAGATAGATTGATAGATAGATAGATAGATATAAATAATATAAATAAAATAGATAGATAGATAGATAGATAGATAGATGAGATTGATAGATAGAGATAGATATTTACTAAGATAGATAATTGGTAGATGTCATGGAACTAATATATATATATATATATATATATATATATATATAGAGAGAGAGAGAGAGAGAGAGAGAGAGGGAGATAGATTGATAGATAGATATAAATAAAATGAGATAGATAGATAGATAGATAGATAGATAGATAGATAGATAGATAGATAGAAAATGAGATTGATTTACTAAGATAGATAATTAGATAGATGTAATGGTCCATGAGAACTAATAGATAGATAGATAGATAGATAAATAGATAGATAGATATGAACAGACTGAGATAGATAGATAGATAGATAGATGAGATAGAATAGATAGATAGATAGATAGATAGATAGATAGATAGATAGATAGATATGAACAGACTGAGATAGATATATAGATAGATAGAATAGATAGGGATGAAGAAAATGAGATAGATAGATAGATAGATAGATAGATAGATAGATAGATAGATAGATAGATATGAACAGACTGAGATAGATATATAGATAGATAGAATAGATAGGGATGAAGAAAGTGAGATAGATAGATAGATAGATAGATAGATAGATAGATAGATAGATATGAACAAAGTGAATAGATAACTAGATAGATATGATGGGCCATGAAAACTAATAGATAGATAGATAGATAGATAGATAGATAGATAGATAGATCTGATGATACATAGTGGTAAACAAACAGGCAAAAAGCCTAAGACCAGTGAAGTGGGAGAGGCCATTACTCTTTCCCTAAATGTCAGGCGTTCATCAAACCTCGCTCGGGCCAATCATTTGTTCTTCTCCCTTGGTGTTTCCCTACATTCGGTGACTATTTTGATTGGATACCCGTGATAAAAATTGTTTTCCCTTCACCATTTTTTCATGTCTTTTTGTTTTGTTTTTGCCTCTTCTTTTTCATTAATCGTTTGCCTCTCAATATTGTCCACGTTTGTTTTCACAAGATCAGGGCGCAAATTGACTTCTTCGAAAAATCGCATCGCTTTGTGATGACTGCAAGCGATGGGCCGAGAAAGTCTAAACAAATCGAAATGGAATTGAAGGGTTTGGGAGGCGAGAAGTGGGGGAAAACGATTCGGTTGGGCAACGAAAGAGAAATTCCGCGCTGGTTTGGGGGAGAATGCCGGTAGATTTTAGCGATAGGTAGTTAGCTTGTTAGATAAATAAATACATATAAAAAGACCGAGATTAGATAGATAGATAGATATTTTATATATTAGATAGATAGATAGATAGATAGATAGATAGATAGATAGATAGATAGATATGAAGAGACTAGGATAGATAGATAGATAGATAGATAGATAGATAGATAGATAGATAGATAGATAGATAGATAGATATGAAGAGACTAGGATAGATAGATAGATAGATAGATAGATAGATAGATAGATGAAGAGACTGGGATAGATAGAAGATAGATAGATGATAGGAATGAAGAGACTGGGATAGATAGATAGATAGATAGATAGATAGATGATGATAGATATATAGATAGATAGATAGATAGATATTAGGTTGGTACAAAAATAATGACGTAATAATGTCGTTTTTGACGTATTTTTTAACGTCAAAAACGACATTATTACGTCATTATTTTTTTGCACCAACCTGATAGATAGATACTGAACAGACTCAGATAGTTAAGTAATGGACAGATATTATATATATATATATATATATATATATATATATATATATATATATAGAGAGAGAGAGAGAGAGAGAGAGATAATGAGCAGACTTAGATAGTTAATTAATGAACAGACTTAGATAGATAGATAGATAGATAGATAGATAGATAGATAGATACTGAACAGAATCAAGTAATGAACAGAAGTAGATAGTGACTAGGTTTCGATAGATAGATAGGTACATAGATAGATAGAGAAAGAGATAAAGATAATAAACATAGTTAAATATTGAACAGACTTAGATAGATAGATAGATAGATAAATAGATAGATAGATAGATAGATAGATTATAAACAGATATAGATTGATGGATATGAATATTCTAAGATAGGTAGATAGATATTAATACACTGAAATACATAGATAAAATATCCATCGAAGTTAATTCTCCTACAAATTTCCCCTTCGATTCTCCTGCAAAACAGATTATCGCCCACCTTGTCAAATATGTTTTGAAACCTCACCAAAGTAATTGAAAGGCCGTCTTTGGTTTCTGTAGTAATCCAAAAGAAAAATTCTGGTTCGTCATTATGAAAGTAATTAACAAAACGAAATAATTTTAATGTGATATTCAGGCCCAAGAATATCTGCTCGAAGACGCCTAAGGAATAAGTGGCACCATTCATGGGGATATGTCAGGCCAAGTTTGCAGTGATCGGGGAAGCATCCTCTTTGGATTCCGTTCCAAAAAGCATCGTTTCCTGGGAAGAAGCTACTCAAGTAGAACTTACATCACATGAATGGAATATGAAGAGATTGATGTTGGTCCGATTCGTGGCATGCTGAGTCTTAGACGTGAAGGTTAAAATTGGCGGGACTAAGAGACATAGTTCGCCTGATCACTTTCCATGGAAATAGCGATAGAGCTGCGAGAGGCTTTAAACGTTTCGTCTGTGAGAAAAGGGGTTGTAGGGTGGAAGATACAAGGAGACGGAGATGCTTTTTTTGAGTCGATGGAGACGGTAAAGTGAAGAGTGGGCAGCTCCTATATATATATCGCAACAGTACTCCATGATATGTCCCTTGTAAAGGTATATTTTAGCAGGAGGTGCCAGGTACTTAGAGAATGAGGCGATATATATATATATATATATATATATATATATATATATATATATATATATATATATATATATATATCGATTAAATAAACGGTTTTACCCCCTGTTGTCCGAGTTTCTCTCTAGCCCTCCCCCTTTTTTGTTGTTTTATCTATATTTGAAGAAATGGTTCTCACCCCACCTCGTTGTTTGTTCTTTTTTGGTGGGGTCATGTGGTTATGATTTTTTGTTTATTGAGTATAAGTATTCCGTTCTTTGTTACCTTTTTAGCCAGCCTTCCCTGACGATCTGCTTAGGTGAAACCTTCGTAGCTTTGTCTGGCTTTCTAGGTTTAACTATATATATATATATATATATTACCTATTTAGCCAGGCTTCCCTGACGATCCGCTTAGGTGAAACCGTGGTAGGTTGTCTGGCTCTCTAGGTTTAACTTGGGCTGCTCTACTCACTGTATTGAGCGCTATATTTAGATATTTTGCTTATTCGTATCGTTTTTTTTTCTTTGGACTTTCGACTTGCATGCTAGACGATTATTTTCAGCTAACATAGATGTTTTTGGTTCTTTCTTTGTTAAATCTGTTTTTCCATTTGGTATTGGTTTGATTATTTGCAAATCAAGTTTTTCTGGACGAGTATAATTTCTTATAATAACTTGTTAGATTAATACAACAACTATATATATATATATATATATATATATATATATATATATATATATATATATATATATATATATATATATATAGAGAGAGAGAGAGAGAGAGAGAGAGAGAGATGAATACAGTGAGATATGCATAAAGTCATCAAAAGAAAGATTCTACAGGTTTTTTTCAGCAAAGAATCCCTAAGAAAAGAAACATGGCTTTTGCAAATATTACACATGATTGGCAGAGATTGTCTGCTCTAACCGGATTGAAATTGAAGATTATGGAGTAAAATACATTTTAGTGATATGTTGTTAGCTCGTCAGTGAATAATAGTCTAACGTATGTACACTCAAAAAAGATATATACATATATACTCTTCTCTGTGTGTATATATACTCACGCTTACGTAGCTTATCTATAAAGAGAGAGAAAAAGAATGAAGCTGGGATGTTATTATGCTGACATGATTAAACAGCACTATAATAAAAAAAAAGTTGCCCCATTAAATAGAAAATATCTAGAGGGGACTCTGATTAATATACTTCCATCGATAAATACGCGTCAGACGCGCTTGTTTAATTTTCTTTCTTCTTTAGGGTGTTGGCAATCATGGCTCTCCGCAAAGTCCTGTGCTTTCAGGTCTCAATAAATTTTGTCATTTTTGCGTTATTTCCAAAATCTACTCTGCTATCTATTCACTCAAGGTTGACCGACGGCATTTTCTGAAATGGAATTAATATATACAGACAGACAGATATACAAAGATAAAAAAAATATATAAGAAATAAAAAATTACAAGATGAAACAATAGCAAAAATAAATTGACCTAGAATTTTTGCACCACGTACTTGATATTAAAATATCTGATCCGACCTGCAACTTTCGGATAATAACTGTTACATTGCTGTATTTATTGAGCAATTTAGTTCACGCCACATTGACTGAAAAACCTAACAGTACAAAAGAATTCTCCTATTACCATATTAGTACAAAAACGCACAATCTTAAAATTTAAAAAATCAACCTCAGCGTTGTGACCGCACGCTCCCAAAAAAAATTTCTTACAATTAACAATAACACATTCCTAAAAACATTTTTCGGATGACATCTATTCTTTCGTTGTCCTGTTATTACCAGGATGCAAAAAACAAATCTATTTCTATATCTGATGATGTCTGTATGCACAGATGAAAGCTTGTAAAAAAATTAAAAGAAGACCGCATGCAACTGGAATTTATAAACAGGGATCATAACATTCATCTACAGGTTCGGGGTTAATGTAATTTATTAAATTTGTTTGCGAAGATTGATTCTCGCCATTTATATCATTAATTTCAATATCTGTTTTTTTTTTGTATGAATGATTCATGTAATGTAAATTGAACTGCACCACATACTTGATATATATATATATATTGATAATATTAGTGGTCACAATATATATATATATATATATATATATATATATGTGTGTGTGTGTGTAAATTCTCAAGAGGATAGAATCCAGGTAGAACTCAGTGTACAGGACAGAGTAAGAATATAATATAAAAGGCTTAAACACTAATATTCCATGGTTATAATTTATTACATTGGAATCGTAATCACGATCCAGTTCATTAGACCTATAAAATTCAATTTTTTTTTTCTTGAATTTGTAGGTTTGATGAATTGCATCGTGATTACGATTCCAATGTAATAAATTATAATTACGGAATATTAGTGTTTGAGCCTTATATATATATATATATATATATATATATATATATATATATATATATATATATATATAATATTAGTGGTAAATATACATACATAGGCAAAATATATAAATACCCATACATGTATATTTTTTGAATAAAAATTCCAAGAGGAAGAATCCAGGTGGAACTCAATGTCCAATTAGATCGTATTTACGATTACAATGGATTAAATTATGACCATGGAATATTAGTGTTTAAGCCTTTTTATTATATATATATATATATATATATATATATATATATATATTAGTTAATATACATAATATCAAACGTCGATAGCAAGAGTTTCAAGATATTTTGCACTAGTATATTGCAGCAACTGCATGAAACTCCGAGTCGTGGTATCGACGTCGATATGGACTCTCCCCTCGTATTCGACGTATGAGGGTCAAGCAGCTCCGTTCCTAGGAACTGACAGCCCAGACTCCAACACATATGATTTGATTATAGTGGTGAATGAAGACTTCGTGCAGAACAAACCACACTTTTTGAAGTGTCAAATACAAAGACCTGGTGCACTACGTGCCACAAGGTCCTCCGCAGTGTTGTTCTTCTCCTAGGCCAGTTGCTATATCAAAGCTATATAACGCAGTCTGTCATACTATTTACCCATAGCTAGGGAGAGAAGAAGAGGATTCAGCACGTAAGTGAAGGTAATGGATTCGACTAGAATTCGAACTCGTCAATCCGAGCCGCTATCGTCTACTCTACTGCCGTGCACCCTCTCTGTCTCTGTCTCTCTCTCTCTCTATCTGTCTATCTGTCTGTCTGTCTGTCTCTCTCTCTCTCTGTCTGGCTCTCTTTCTCTCTCTCTCTCTCTCTCTCTCTATATATATATATATATATATATATATATATATATATAACAAAATGGCTTAAACACTAATATTCCATGGTCATAATTTATTCCATTGGAATCGTAAATACGATCCAATTCATCAGACTAACAAATTCGAAAAGAAAACAGAAAAAACAACTTCGGGAATAAAAAATAAGATTTAGTGAGAGTGTGTGTATGTCAGTGTGGGACAAATGTTAGAGTAAATGAAAGCTATAGGGAGGGGTAACAGACGAGAGAAGAACAGGAAGGTCTAAAAATGAAGTGGGGATTAAAATTTAACAGAGAGATGTTTTAAAGAAGGGAGTCAAAGACGGTTTAAGTGAGAGAAATATGAATGTTCTCGGATGTCGAATACATTAAAGATACACCGGAAAAGAGTATACATTTTGTGGTGACATAACCCACAATAGACGATCTAATCTTAAAGATCAGAAGATGAGAGAGGAAGAGGAAAAGAAAAGAAAAAAGGGTGGGGGAGATAGGTGGGATTGAGGGAACTAAAAATGAAGAGCATTTATTAAAAGGGCCGTTGTGCAATCAAGAAAATTTGAAAAAAGTAATATCGACTACAGGTTACAAATCAAATATAAACATATAAAAAAAAATTAACGATTATCTAAACTAACAAGGACCTATATTTCTATGTTCAAAAACACTTACGTATACACACATATACAACAAAAACACGGACATACAAATATATAGGCGTGTACACACATACCCATACATATACATACATACATACATACATATATATATATATATATATATATATATATATATAGATAGATAGATAGATAGATAGATACACCTAGTGAGCCAGACAAACCTACCTAGGTTTCACCTAAACTGATCGTCAGGGAAAGTTTGGCTAACGAGGCAAAGAGAAACACAGTATGATTTTAGCTATCACCTATAAATATGTGTTTCTCTTTGCCTCGTTAGCCAAACTTTCCCTGACGATCCGTTTAGGTAGGTAGGTTTGTCTGGCTCACGAGGTGTATCTAGGTCTGCTCTACGGTTGTATTGAGCTCTTTTGTTAGTTAGTTGTTTACTCGTATCGGGGTTTTTTCTTTGGGTTCAGACCTGCATCTGTGCGATTTTTTTGTCGGCAGAAGTTCATGTTTGTAGCTCTTTTTAAAACCTTTTTTCCCTCGAGATTGATTTGATTAGCAAATCAAAAATTTGAGGTTTTTTCGAAACGAGTCTAGTTATCTATATATATATATATATATATATATATATATATATATATATATATATATATAGGTGGTTTTGTGTTTGCGTTGTGGTTCTTTCTTTGGTCACATGGTATAATTTTGGCTATCGTCTATAAATATGTGTTTCCCTTTGCCTCTTTAGCCGACTTTTCCCTGACGATCCGCTTAGGTGAAACCTGGGTAGGTTTGTCTGGCTCACTAGGTGTATCTAGGTCTGCTCTACGGTTGTATTGAGCTCTTTTGTTAGTTAGTTGTTTATTCATATCGGGTTTTTTTCTTTGGGTTTCAGACCTGCATCTGTGCGAGTTTTTTTCGACAGACTTTCATGTTTGTAGCTCTTTCTTTTTTTAAAACCATTTTTTCCCTCGAGATTGATTTGATTATTCGCAAATCAAAGATTCGAGGGTTTTTCAAACAAGTATAGTTATCTATATTTGTATATATATATATATATATATATATATATATATATATATATATATATATATATATATATATATATATATATATATATATATATATATATATATATATCCATATATATAAATATAAAAGTGTACATTGAATTCAAAACTTAGAGGCGACGCGCTGTTACATGCTAGACGCAATCGTCAGGCCACGACTCGAGCATGATGAATTCGATCGTAAACAAAAATCTCAGGTTTATCACTAATTAACCATAGTTAAGGATCGGAAGCTCATGAAGTATGAAAATACAGTTCAATATATATATATGTTATTCCAGGATCATTTTCCAACTTATTCAAGATTATCTTCGCCCTCTCTAACCTTCTTACTTTCTGTCCTGGTGCAACAGTTTGCCTCACAGGTTTCACATACAATTTCATTTTCAAGTCTTTTTTCACTGCTCTTTGGACTGTCATAGCTGAAACTCCTCTCTCACATGCCAAATGTATTATGAATTGATCTATTTAGTTTTAAGTTGAAAGAATGATCGTTCTTCCTGTTGTGACCTCCTGAACCAGTTTTCCTCTCTACTGCTACATCTTTTTAAAAAAATTATTCACCGTTCTCTTGATAGATCTTGAATGGAATTTGAAGATGGAAGACAGAGAATGAATGCTGGTATCGTACTGATGGCCTGAATGATATTTATCCACTCACCATTGCTCATTTGGGAAGACAGTATGTCTGACACAAAATGAATGAATTACATTAAAAAATTAACTCAATACTAAAACGTTTTAGTGTTGACAAGCTCCACAGAATTTATCCCGAAGAGCGAAATGGCTATAAAAATGAGGCACAACTGAGTTTCATATTTATGTAATTCATTTCTATGGTCTATAATAAATATATTGAGTTCTCTTTTGTGAATCAGTTATAATATTTTATATTAATAAGATCCACTTGGATTACTTACACACGGATTTTACCCATATATATATATATATTTCCGGAGTTGTTTTTTTCTGTTTTTTTCTGTTTTTTTCTGTTTTCATTTTGAATTTGTAGGTCTGATGATTTGGATCGTATTTACGATTCCAATGGAATAAATTATGACCATGGAATATTAGTGTTTAAGCCTTTTTTTATATATATATATATATATATATATATATATATATATATATATATATGTGTGTGTGTGTGTGTGTGTGTATATATATATATATATATATATATATATATATATATATATATATATATATATATATATATGATAAGAAAGAACAGTCAGATTTATAATCCAGAGTTCTTTAAGATTTATTTAAAAAAAAAAGTGTTCGAAAAACGGCCTAATATTATTATTTATTTTATTTTTTCTGTCGAGATGGAGACATATTAAAAAATAATACATATATATATATATATATATATATATATATATATATATATATGTACAGAGAGAGAGAGAGAGAGAGAGAGAGAGAGAGAGAGGTGAGGGTGACTGAGAGATGCAGGAAAGAAGCAGACAGACATATTGTTGATTTTACAGGAATAATTCTTAGTTTATGTTGATTTTTCGCCAAAGAATAACACCGTACCATGTCGTGGAAAATTCAATATTTTGTACGCTTCCTCACTGTCCTTTTTCCCAGCTCAGCCATTTGCAATTTTGGCGCACTTCATTCGATTCCCTGGATGTCTTTTTCATTCCGCTTCCATCAAACTTGGATTGGTCAAAAAAAAAAAATCCTCTGGAAATAAAAACAAACTAAAAGCAATGATGCAAACGTCAAAGGAAAACGATTAAAAAAAATTAAAAAAAGTTTAAATCTCTCTCTTTTCGCATCTCTATCTATCCTGTCTCTTTCTTTTTCTCTCTCACGCTCTGTCACTCACTCTCTATATCTTACACCAACTCTGTCATTCTCTTTCACTCCCTGTCTCTTTCTTAATATCTCACACTCTCTCTATCTCTTAGACTCACTCTTTCTCACTCTCTATCACTTATAGTCTCTCGTTGTCTCTTTCTTTCTCTCTCTCTCTCTCTTTCATTGTCTATATCTTGCACTCCGCCTCTCTCTCTCTTTATTTCACTCACGGTCTATCACTCACGCTCTATCTCTTAAACCAACTCTTTCTCTCTCTCTCTCTCACTCTCTCAATCTCTTTCTCTTTCTGTATCTTTCTTAATCTCTATCACTCTCTCTCAGTCTCCATATCTCACTCTCACTCTCTCTTTCTGTCTCTTTCTTTATAGCTTTCATTCTCTCTCACTCTCTCTCAGTCTCCATATCTCACTCTCTCTCTTTCTGTCTCTTTCTTTATCGCTTTCATTCTCTCTCTCTCACTCTCTCTCAGTCTCCATATCTCACTCTCACTCTCTCTCTCTCTGTCTCTTTCTTTATCGCTTTTATTCTCTCTCTCACTCTCTGTCACTCTCCATCTCTCACTGTCACTCTCTCCCTCTCTCTCCCTCTTTCTTTATCGCTTTCATTCTCTCTCACTCTCCATATCTCACTCTCACTCTCTGTCTCTTTATTTATCGCTTTCATTCTCTCTCTCACTCTCTCTCAGTCTCCATCTCTCACTGTCACTCTCTCTCTCTCTGCCTCTTTCTTTATCGCTTTCACTCTCTCTCTCTCTCACTCTCTCTTAGTCTCCATCTCTCACTCTCACTCTCTCTCTCTCTTTCTTTATCGCTTTTATTCTCTCTCTCACTCTCTATATATTGCTCTACAATTCTCTCTTTCTTTATCTCTCACACTCCCTATCTCTTATTCGCACTCTTTCTATATATATATATATATTTCTTTATCTCTCTCACACTTTATCTCTTACCTTTACTCTCTCTCTCTTTCGTTATTTCTATTTGTCTCACTCTCTAATGCTTACTCTAAGTTTCTCTCTCTCTGTTTCTAATTCTCTATCTCTTACTCCCACTCTCTCTCTTTATCTCTTATTTTCACTCTCTCTGTCTCTTTCTTAATCCCACTCACTCTCTATCTCCAACTTCCTTCGCTGTCTTTACCTCTCTCTCACACACTATCTCTTACTTTCATTCTCTCTCTTGCTTTCACTCTCTCTTTATCTCTCTCATTCTCACTCTCTCTGTGTCTCTCTCTATTTTTTTTTATCTCTCACTCACTCCCTATATTTCTTTATCTATCTATCACACTCCATCTCTTGCTCTCAGTCGCTCTTTGGTTATTTCTCACACTTTATTTCTTACACTCACTCGCATCTTTCTTTCTTTATCACTCTCGCACTGTTTCTCTATCTCTTACTCTCACACTTACTTTCTCTCTCTATTTCTTTACATCTCTATCTCTTTCTCTTACTCATACTCCCCTCTCTCTCTCTCTCTTTCTTTTTCACTCTCAGTCCCATTCTCTATCTCTTACTTTCTCTCTCTTAATGAGAGTTTAAAGACAAATAGTAAAAAATACGCGGACACTTGTTGCCTGCGACGAGCAATTTGTAGCAATTACTGAAGTGGCACCCGTTGTCGTTTACGTTTGTTTTCTTTGGCGACGATGGCCGGTCGGCAATACACACATTTCACGTAACTCGATGGGTTTGAAGGAATTCCCGCCACCACTACCGCCAGCGAAACGCGCGTCTCGCATAAAAAAATGGAGGAGGGCTATGGTTAATATGAGGGAGATCGTGTATTTTATGCGCAAGCGTCAATTTCTATTTTTGTGTGCATCCTTCTATGTAAAAACCTACAGATGCACACGTCCTTCATTCAAGGATTCTATTTCTTTTCATATTGATTTTATATCTTGTTATTGCTGCCTTTTTCTTCTTCTTCTTCTTCTTCTTATTATTATTATTGTCATCATCATCATCATTCGATTTCTGCTATGGACACACTACCTACCAAGTCTGCGGAAAGACCTAAGGCAGGTCGTGGTGTGTTGTTATGGCCACATTTCATGTTAATTTTTTTTTTTTTTTTTTTTTTTTTTTTTATCTCCGATGAAGTTGCTCGCGTTACATAGACAAAGTTCTCCTTAGTGTGTGTGCTGTACTTAATAAGACAATTTTCTGTATGTCTCTTAAGCTGATAAAAAAAGGGATTCTTTCAATGTGTTGTTTTGTTCCATTTTTATAATTCCAAGTGCACCTATTACCACTGGTATTATTCTTGTTTTCAATTTCCACATTTTTTTCTATTTCAATTTCCAGGTCTTTGTATTTTTGATAGTTTTTCAAATTCCTTGGTTGCTATGTTACAATCCGCTGGACAAGCCATATCAATTAGTAGGCAAGTTTTTTTTTCTTTCTGTTTTTTTTGACAATAATGTCCGGCCTATTTGCTTCAATTTTTCTGTCTGTGTGGATGGTATAATCCCATAGAATGGTGACATCTTCTATTTCTGTAACCGGCGCTGGCCGATGTTCATACCAGTGTTTGCTTACACATTTTCCAAAGTGTTTGCACATTGTCCAGTGTAAGTATTGCCCCACTCTATCGTGACGATTTTTATATTCATTTGGGGCAAGTATAGAACATCCTGAGATTAGATGGTCTATTGTTTCTTGGTATTTGTCACAGAACCTGCATTTTGGATCCACATTATTATGTATGATATTTGCCTGAAAATTCCTAGTGAAAAGACTCTGGTCTTGCGCTAATATGTTTGGCGAGTGATGTTTTTCTGAGGTTTGAGTAACGCTTCATGGAATGCAGTCATAACAACTTTGTACTCCTCACGAGACCATTTTATTTTTTCTTTCCTTAAATTTACGGTTATGGATCTAGCTGGAGAATTTACAGGACCATCATTAGGATTATCCTGGTTATTATTATTATTATTATTATTATTATTATTATTATTATTATTATTATTATTATTACCATTATTATTATTGTTGAGTTATTAATATTACCATTATTATTATTATTATTATTATTATTATTATTGTTGTTGTTGCTGTTGTCATTACCATTATTATTATTATTATTATTATTGTTGTTATTATTATTACCATTATTATTATTATTTTTTATTGTTGTTATTGTTATTATTATTATTACCATTATTATTATTATCATTATTATTATTATTTTTTATTATTGTTGTTATTATTGTTACCATTATTATTATTATCATTATTATTATTATTTTTATTGTTGTTGTTATTATTATTATTACCATTATTATTATTATTATTATTGTTGTTGTTGTTGTTATTATTATTATTACCATTATTATTATTATTATTATTATTGTTGTTGTTGTTATTATTACCATTACTTTTATTTTTATTTTTATTGTTGTTATTATTATTACCATTATTATTATTATTATTATTGTTATTATTACTATTATTATTGTTTGTTATTATTATTATTATTACCACTACTATTATTATTAGTATTGTTGTTATTATTATTATTACCATTATTATTATTATTGTTATTGTTATTATTACCATTATTATTATTATTATTATTGTTATTATTACCATTATTATTATTATTGTTGTTATTATTTTTATTACCATTATTATTATTATTATTATTATTTTTTTATTATTATTATTATTTTTATTGTTGTTGTTATTATTATTATTACCATTACTATTATTATTATTTGTTGTTGTTATCATTATTATTACCATTACTATTATTATTATGATTGTTGTTATTATTATTATTACAATTATTATTATTATTATCTTTGATTTCTGGCGTTTTCACATTTCTTTCCGGGTCCCGCCCAGGGAGCTAAGGTTAGAAATGGCGTCATGACACTTTCCACTTACAAAAAAAAAAAAATTTTAATTACATAGATAAAGCCCTTCGTAATGTGTGGGCTGTACTTGTCAGAACAATTTTTTGTATCTCCTTGAGGCATGGACTTCCAGGAATCCCTTCAATTTGTCTACTGCAATCTTTTCCAACCAGTCCTAGGGCTCCCAACTACAGGATTGTTGATGTTCCCATATGCCACATTTTCGAGATTTCTATTTCAAGGTCCTTGTACTTTGACAACTTTTTGAATATCTTCAAAGATATATTGCAGTCAGCAGGGACTGCCATATCCACAAGGAGGCACCGTTTTTGTTTGTGGTCTTTAATAACAATATCTGGCCAGTTGGCCTTGATTGTTCTGTCAGTGTGTATTGTGTAGTCCCATAGGATTGTAACAGGTCCTATCTCCGTAACCGGGTCTGGGTGGTGTTCATACCAGTTTCTTCCCGTAGAAGTTGCAGATTTTCCAGTGCAGATATTGGCCCATTCTGTCATGTCGGGTTTTATATTCAGTGGGTGCCAACACCGTACAACCTGATACAAGATGATTAATCGTTTCTGGATATTTATCACAGAATCTGCATTTTGGGCTGACACAATATTTTAGTATATGTGCTTGATAATTCCTAGTTAGCAAGCATTAGTCCTGCGCAACAAGGATAAAACCTTCAGTTTCCGCTTTCAACCCTGCACTACGTAGCCACTGATGGGTACGGGTTTTGTCTACGTCAGCTTGTTTGGTACGGGCAGAGTATTGGCCATGAAGCGG